ATCGTTCTGTGTACTGATATTAAACATAATCAGTGCGTATAAGAAAAAATAAACTAAAATTTAAGCGAATGGAAATTTGATCCAACCTGCCTTTTTAGAGACTCCAAAGCTGGTGGGTTTTTAAGTGAATTTTCATTGCTACAAAAATGTATAATGTTATTTCGCCCTTCCTATTCTTAACTAAATTGTTTACAACAATTTTCAGTAAAACACTCACTTTGTCGCTTTTTTGCTTTATGTACTCCATCCAATGCCCCAATCACTACTTTGTTAGTAAATTATTTTGTCAGATTGGAACTCCACGACAGGATTGTTCAGGTTTTCAGCGCTTTTCAAGTTTCCAGCGCTTTACTCAGATAATCAAAAAAAAAAAACACCTAAAATACCTGTTTTGNTTTCAGTAAAACACTCACTTTGTCGCTTTTTTGCTTTATGTACTCCATCCCATGGTGTAACTCCATCCAATGCCCCAATCACTACTTTGTTAGTAAATTATTTTGTCAGATTGGAACTCCACGACAGGATTGTTTCAGCGCTTTTCAAGTTTCCAGCGCTTTACTCAGATAAAAAAAAAAAAAACACCTAAAATACCTGTTTTAGAGTTCTTCTCTAAGATTATCCTCTAACATTTATTATGAAGATTAATTTCCTCTGGTTGTTTTTTATTCTTTTTGGGGTTTCAACTGTGGCTGACTTCCAAAACGTACCAATACAATGTTTGGATTCTACTGCGGCATTTAAACAGAGTGCAGAGTTGTGAAACATTGCAAAGAAATACATTGCACGTTTTGAATATTTAATATAACAATGATCATCTTTCGGAATTTTCCATTTTTAAAACATAAATGGAAACCAACAAAAAGAGAAGCACCAACTTTTTTTTGGTGCGCTGATTACTCCAGCGATGCATTTCGATAACATTTCGAATGCTTTTTGGAAAAGTATACATTGTAAACATTTTGTAGTTCGACGTTATGGAACATTATACTTTGTACGGATGCAAAGCAACTGACGTTTTGGAAGTCAGCCTGTGTTGCAATAATTCGTACATATGTATGCATGGTATAGACATGGAAATCTCGTGCTGAAAACATCTAAGCTTTTGTTGCATTATAACATCGTTGTGCTGTGCTTTTATTTATAAGAGATTTCCTTTGTGTTGAATTAATAAATTGTTAATTTTTCTATATGTATTTTACTCAGCAAAAATTAATGGCTGGCCTTTCCTTCTATTGCAGGCAATCCACCAACTACTCAAGAGTGAAGTGCACTTTCAATCAATAATACAAACGAATAATGTATGCATAAGCCACTTACCGAACCAGCCAGTCAACCCACAAGCAATCGATATAGTAATACATACATACATAAAGGCACATCCCTACCCCTGCCGGGATGGATGTATTGCACGAAAGGCAAACATATGACTGAAATATTAGTTTTTACCAATTAATATTTAGAAATAGTAATGATTATCATAGAATCATGTGTGCCTCAAGAAAGTGGGTGTGTTCCTATTAGACGAGTGTATATGTATGTATGGATAAATCATGCAAACGCCAAGCAGACATGCCTTCATACATATGTACATATTTAAATATACATTTGTACATAATAATAAACATTGATCAATCATTCTCATTTGTAATCCTTTAATCGCTAAGATATTTACTACTGCGTATTTATTTACATATATGTATAATTATTTTGTTATTGTCAAAACGCAACAATGGTTTATGTGAGTTCTTACACTCACGCAGTAGGTACATGATAAACTACATACACAGGAGTAGTTGTAAATGAGAGCAGCGAGCGGGCGAATATGTAAAATCTATGACAGCAATGGCATAAATAAAGACGCATGAAGTGCATAAATTGTGATCAGAGCAGATCACTTGTAAACTCCCAAGTGCTAAAGTTATCAAAAAAGAGATTCGCATGAACGATAAGGAGGAAGGCATATTACCTAGCTTGTACAATGTACATAAATATATTTTGCTAAGTAACTTGTTCTTCTTGGCAATATAGTTAAATATTTTAAATTTTTTACTCACTAAGTACTCTCTATAATTAATTTCATAAATCTACATTCATAAAAACGCTCATTATCCTCTGCTATGTACGTGCTGATTTTAGTAAATGAATGGAAATGTTAAAAATTTTGCTATTTTAGTTATGAAGTGATCCAATGGCATACATACATAAGTGATTTTGATTGACATTGGATTAGTAAGAATAGGTGTTGTATGCACACATATCGTCGCCTGGGTAAAAGATTGTCGTATGTTAATTTCGGCAGGTTGTGGGAAATCACGATTGAAGTTTGGAATGCAATTTCTCAAAAACGCGAAGATAGATTTTCTCCAAAGTGTCTGAAAATGTTACTAGTTTACAAAATTCATAAAAAGTTTAGTTTTTAATGTTTATTGTTAATTAGTTTTGAGTTTATGAAGGATTTTCTTTAGTAAAATTTTGTCGTAAGCGTCATTTGCTCACAATTTGGCAGCCACTTTGTATGAAATACGACAAAATGTGATCAAAATTTCTACCAAATTAACGACACTTTTTACTCAATGTCTCGGAAACTAAAGGAGATATCCAAAAATGGAGAACGCCATTTTTAAGATATTGCTTAGTTTAATATCACTGCGTCACTAACTAAATTTTGACTAAATTAGCGAAAATTTTTTAGTCAGTATCTCGGAAACTGAAGGAGATATCTAAAAACTGATAACACCAATCGAAAGGCCTTATTTCAAAATATATAACTGTAACTAGAACTAAAATTCATCAAAATGGGGCTTACGACAATCTTTTACCCAGACGACGATATGTACAAAATGCACACTTTTATACATAGTTAGAATTATAATTTTTAGTTAACATCTAGTTTAACATTAAAAAGTGAGAAGTGAAATAAGAGGTGGATTTGTATGCTGCTAATTGCTAACCAATTTATAGATCTTCCAATTCTATATTCAAAACTATAGTTGAAGTGATTGTATTTTCAAGCTCAATAAATAAGCATATCGTCATCTAAGGGTGAAAAAGTGCCAAGTCCATTTTTTTTTTTAAATTGTTCACCTGTTTTCACCCTTAGGTAACGATATAGCGAAACAAACTATTTATGTAACATATTGTATATTTAAATGAATTGCTTAGAACAAAACTATAATTCTACCCATATAGGCATACCCCTTCCCTTATGAATCTGTTAGTTTTAGAAGTTTGGCATTGAAGCGGAATTCATGAAATAAGACTGTATTAGGATTTGTTATATTTTTTTAAACAAATTGAATTAAATATATACATACGTACATTGTAAGTACATATGTACTTATAAAATTATTTAAGTATAGCATAATTATGGGGTTTACTGAATGCTAATAAAAAATAAAAATTATTAAAATCTTAAATTCCCATGCTATACCACTTATTGAGTAGAAATCTGAAGAGTAAGTATTTTATAATGAAAAGTTGGAAGAAGGTCAAGATATATTAATTATTTTTTTCCTTTATATTTTTTATGTTAAAGAACATTCATANGAACCATGGGATCACCCTTGAGGTAACACCTTTCCTTTATAAAAATAATTATATCAAATTAGGAAACATTTGGTTTTATTATCAATGCCTAAGCAAAAATTACGATTATGGATAGCAACGCAACCTCAGTTTGGTTGCCGATGGGCAACACAACTTACATAAATGAAAATGTATATTCAGTCCAATTCCTAATACTCCCGGGGAGTTGCTCCAATAATTACATCCCAGGGGAAAATCGAACTTCGAAAGAGCTACTTGACACTTTTTTGACAGCTAACTACGCCATTTAAAATGAAAAATCTGTAATACCACTTCAGCCACTGGCAATTCAACCGAAGTTCGGTTTCAATCCGTAATCGACTCATTATTTTCTGCTCAAAAACATATATCAGTTGTTACATTCGCCTGCTTTTTTATACAAAGCCAATCTGCAAAATTGCTTCACGAGTACGGCTCACAAATTCTATAAGAAAATAAGCGAGCGGAGACGAAGATGATCTTGTAACATATGTAAGTCAAGAATAAACTTGAGATGGCTCCGTGAATTATGGCCGTGTATTAAGACCGCAATCAACAAAAGAAATTAGGCCCCGCGGGCATAATTCATTTTAAAAAGTGAAAGGCACCTAAAACTCCAAACATTAGAAAGAGCACAGTCCGAACTTTAAGAAATGTTTCCCTTCCCCTCTATGACCGCTGTACGGACCCCCTGGGACCCATTTTAAAATGGGGTAATACCAAGCCACATGGTATAAACGCCATCCACTTGGTAAAAACGCTGACCACTGTATTTTTGCGCAGGAAACCCGTCTACGCTGACCACTGTATTTTTGAGCAGAACACCTTTCCGCGCAGAAGTCTTTTATTAAAAAACAACCTATCTACACCAGGGCCGACTTCGCAAGGGGAGTCAATTGGCGAAGCTTTCGAAGCATCGGACAAAATCGGGAGCGAAAAAGCGTTATTTAGTAGGTAGGCGCGATTACACTCCGACTACGCCAATTTTCAATAGCAATTTACCTCAAACTAATTAGATCCATTTATGGTAGTGTGTGTCGTCTAAGTCTACTCGATTACAGACAAAATTTGTCTTAATTTTTTCATTGATTAAATTTTTCTATAGCCCAGAATATAAATTCAGACGCATTTATATTTTATTAACATTTAATTTTTTCCCATCCTCCGCAGCGCCATGCTTCTTCACCCTCTCCATTAATAAATCAGTTGTGAAGCTGGTTGGACGTTCAATTGGCATTAGCAGGGCTCGGTGCCAAGTAACTGATGATAGTACGCCAATTGCACGGGACACACCGAACAGCACTGTATAGTAGGCAGTTTCCTTCATGCCATAGTACTGCAACAAGACACCGGAATGTGCGTCCACATTTGGCCAAGGATTTTTCACTTTTCCCAGCGCTTTAAGTATGGGTGGCACTACTTCGAAAATGGTTTTTAGCAGCTGATAGGTTTCATATTCAGGCAAATGTCTTTCGGCAAATTTACGTTGCGCCATATAACGTGNACATTTATATTTTATTAACATTTACTTTTTTCCCATCCTCCCCAGCGCCACGCTTCTTCACCCTCTCCATTAATAAATCAGTTGTGAAGCTGGTTGGACGTTCAATTGGTATTAGCAGGGCTCGGTGCCAAGTAACTGATGATAGTACGCCAATTGCACGGGACACACCGAACAGCACTGTATAGTAGACAGTTTCCTTCATGCCATAGTACTGCAACAAGACACCGGAATGTGCGTC